GCTTGTTTGCAGGTATATGTTGTTGCGTCATCAATAAATAAAGACTACATACATAGTTTTACTTCGCCCCAGTAGCTTACTTTAAGACTAAATTTTATCTTTGGTTCAACTTTTGCAATCAGCTTTTAGGTCGTTAATATTTCTTGCGCAGTCCAAGAACAAAAGAATAATTAAATTTAATATAAAGGTAAACCTAAGGCAGGGAAAGTAACTTTTTATTTCTCATCCTCATTTGGAGGTTACATAAAAATTAAAAACAAAAAAATCATGAAAGTGATGGCTGAGTGGAGTTGTCTACCGTCTCTACAACTGATACTGTGCCAATAAAGAGAAACAAGCCCTAAAAGTCTTGATCGGCTTGACATGGCTGATAAGCTTTTTTAAAAGTATATTTAAATATTAGAAGAAAGTGTGTATGTTAACTTTAGAAATAAAGATGAATAAAGGCGGATAGTTTCGAAAGAAACTGTTTGGGGCTGCGTCGGTAGGAGTAACGAAATAATTTGGATATATCAACAAAGTTAAAGTGGTAAATTGGCCACCGTAACGATTAAAAAAGCTGGGTTGTGTGTGCTTTTAAAGGCAGAGAATGTGCCCTTAAAAGCACACACAACCCACAATTCCTCTATTCGCTCCGACGAAGAGCTAACGCTCGAAACGTCAGCTTTTTTAATCGTTACGGTGGCCAATTTACCACTTCAACTTTGTTGATATACCAAATTATTTAGAAATAAAGGTTCGTTCCTTGAATATCAAATAAGTGAATATGTTGTGCAGGATTACTTCAATATTTGTTTGTCAATTCACTTGCTATATCTATTGAGAACTTTGCAATACTTTTAAGATTAGGATTCTATTTTGAACCCATGAACCGTTGTTGTTTGTCTCCGCAAGGCTCTCCACTGAGTGAAGAATCATGAAATAACACACGTTCTCAGTGCAATTAAGGACAAAGGTCTGAGTTGGTATCATGGTGTTTCTAAAACTATTTCAGCGGCGGTGTCGTTCAACTCGGCTCATTGTTGGGAAAAAGAATGAAGACTCATTGGTATTTTATCTCCTATAATTAAAAACCCTCCTTGATGACGGAAGAAAACTATTAATGACTTTTCTAACCGATAGAATCCGGAGTCCGTGCCTAAATTTTTAGCTGATATGCAACCCACAGCTCGAGAGTTTTTTCAAGGCCAGCTCCGCCACAGGTCTCCGTATCCCCCAAAATTAGCTCGATAGCTTTCTTTACACGAGGGCGACCGAATCAAATTCAAAAGTCGTCTTAAGGGACTACGTCTAAATGGCTAAATATCCAAATAGTGCGTTATGAAAACTTTTAATCCATGCCAGCTAAGTTATCGGTCGGAGAAATACCAGTTTAAAATTTCGTTTCACCTTTTTGGTTTATGACTTATTTCATAATAGCCGTAACCGTTTTCAAAACAATTATTTCTATTTGTAAAAATTTTGCTAAGTTACGTTTCCTCAGTTTAAATGCAGCACCAGCAGGGATAAGGCTCCCTCATGTTACATGACAGAGAGCTTCACTAGGTGCTGGCGTAAGTTTTTAGGATTATTTTGTTAAATAAACAGAACTTAATTTTCCTTTTATCCATCAATTTGGAGTTCTTAGCGTGAATTGCTGACTTCCTAAGGTCTTTCTTTGAATTCGACTTTCCGCTGCCCTAACCCTTTCATCTGAGCCTGCAGGAGACATCTGCACCCTGTCAATCCACGAAAACACTTTTAGCTATTGTCGAATGCGGTTTTAGTTGAGATTGTTGTTCGGCTCTTTATCAGCTTGAGGATCACATCTGTGATCTTTTTTTTATGCCGGAAGATATCTCTATTATAGTTTATGACTTTTCTGTTCTTTTACTATTTTGCTACATTTTTTGTGTGACTATCTTGTATAAAGCTCAGGAGTGACCGACTAATGTTGGAACAGCGTCGGCTNCCATATTGGCTGGCCCATTGAATCCTGTTGGCAAAGTGAAGGAAGTAAGTCTTACGCACTCTAAAACAACAAACGTGTCTAGTTACAATGATAAGGTTGAGATCGGACGTCAGCATTATCAGGCGCCTCTGGCAGCCGCTTCAGTCCATGTAACGATCTCACCTTCCCTCCCATCCCACCCCAGGGAAGGACATCCACCACAGTAATCTCGTGCGTGGGAAATTAACGTCTCCTACCCCTAACCCTGCAGGAGACGGGGCCTACAGTTTATTCGTCATTATCCGAGAAGACTAGAATACCTATCCATTTCTTGATATTATAGAAAGATAGCAAATTCTCATCACTTTTTTTAAGACCATGAGTATTGGTCCGGCCGGGGCTCGAACCCTCGACCTCCCGCACAACACAATGAGGCGCTCTAACCAATTGAGCTAACCGGGAGGCGGTTAGTTGAAGTCCTGTGTTAACTAGCAGGGGAGTCAAAAAAGGGAGGCACATGTATCCTGGGATACTACTGCTAAAGGATCTTACACAAGCTTTGTAGGCTATGAAGTTATTCCCCTCTTCTTGGTTTTTATGTGACGTCATCAAAATTAAAAATAAGGATTTTTCAATCCTTATGAGATCTAAGTTTAGTTCGGTAATAAGACAGTTGAAGTCCTATCTTCTTACAAATTTTCAGTTTGATTGGGTTTTTTGTCTTGTGATAAAGCAAGGTTGAATTTCTGAGCTATTGCACAACACGTTGTCACCTAGGTTGATGAAAAGTGGCTTATCTGCTGAGATTTCACAATCTGAACAATCCTTGCATGAGAATTAGTACTCATATAGATGTTAATTAGCTCTCAGAAGACGACTACAAACCTTTTATAGCAGAACTTGAGGACATAATGTTCTTCCGAACGAGTTCCGGGTTCGAGGCAAACAATCTTTCACAATTTAACTCATTTAATTTAACGAAAATAACAAGCAACATCAGTACAACAAAACATCAAGGTAGTCTATCTGACCTCATGGTCAGACTAGTTCCCAGTCCCTCTAAACACATAATTTTTTTTTACGTCAGTTGTTAGCTTCCAGCCCCAGGGGGGGGGGGGGTACTCCCTTATAAAGGCTTAATGTGGACGTGCGGCCAGCCAGGGTATGTTTTTCGAGATTTTTGTCTTAAACAGGGTATCGAATTTATCATTTTTTGTCTTAATCAGGGTATTGATTTATCAATTTTTGTCTTAAACGGGATATCTTTTCTTGGAAGAAAAACAGCAAAATTTCTACACGCTCTAATTTTAATATTGAATTCTGTTGATTTTGGCATTGATACCAGGCACATTAAATGTCTTAAACAGGGTATCAAAAATTGGAATTCTGTCTTAAACAGGGTAGGAAAATCAGCGATATTTGTCTTAAACAGGGTCAGGGTATGAGGGGCTGTGCCACACCTCCCCTCCCAGGAATATATTGAGTACCCCCCTGGGACTTCCAGCCACCATATTGGGGTCTCTCAGAGGGACACCCGCATGGTGTCTTCATACAAAGCCTTATAAATTTGAGGGTAACATCCCTTCAAATATCTCCCACACCTGAATCTTTGTGAGAATGTTTGAATATTCATTTCATCCCTTTGATTCTTGATTGTATTTGTTTAATGGTTTTGATGATGGTGTGACAGTGAAAACCAGCAAAGTACTTCTCTATATTTTTAAAGGAAAAAAAAGAAATAAAGACAAAAGTGACACTGGATTTATTACAAAAAATTTGCATCAGAGTTTGAGACTAAAATAGCAATTAAAAGTTTTGATTAATCTGGTTTGTGGCTTTCATTTTGTATGAAAGCATTTTTAAACATTGGAACTCCCCTTGGTCATAAATCTCTTTAAAAAGACAAATCAAGGCATAAATCTCCATTTGAAAGTAATATCTTTAAGTACAATACAGAATTGAACACACTCAGAAACTTGCAAGTGGTTGGGATGCATAATTCTCCCTTAGCTTGCACACTTGTAATGTAGAAATGAAAGGTTAAGTCCGCACTTGGACCAAGTGGACACGAGTCAGAGCTTTCCCTGGTTTCTGTAGCATGAAGTGACCAGCAGTAATACTAATCACCCCTCAATTGGATGCTAATCTATAGCAGGTTCCCCCTCACACCCAGGAGTTTGGTCTGCTTTCCTTGACAGTTTGCCCATACTCCTGGGCAGAGAGAAGCACTGTGAAAGTAAATGCGCAAGAACACAACAACGTGACACAGCTTCGTCTTGACCTTTAAGTCAAGTATGTTAACTGATTAGCCACTGTGTCTCCACACTTGAGGTTACCATGCACCTTCAGGGGTGTCTCGCGTGCAAGCGACGTAGTGCGTCCAGTTTAAACTGTAAATATCTAAATCCCTATATCAAGCTTATAGGACTGGCTATCAGACTATACCAAAAATTTTGAAAAAAAAATAATTGTTGAATTTTTCATAAGTTCTAAATGCGAGTGCCCAAATCACCTTTTAAAAGCTACAAGTCAAAGGGAATTTGTTCGATTGCTTTCAAATTTTGACAGTAGGTAGTTTACATATAAACAACAAAAACATGTCTCCAAATTTTTTATTTCAATACTTTTTTTTCAAGAGCAATTTTCGTATGATCACTCCACATTTTTTTAATCCTGTTTCAAAAATGTTCTGTAACTTTTCCCTGAAATTGAATATGGCAAATCGCAGATATGTTTTTTTAGCGCTTTAGCCCCGGAAATGGAGGAACACATTAAATAAGCAAAAAACAAATTTTGCTTCAACATGTAACATTCAAAAGGTGATTCAGGCGCTCGCATTTAGAAGTCGTGAAAAATTCTACAATTCATTTGCGTTCAAAATTTTTGTTATAGTCTGATAGCCAGTCCTATAAGCTTTAATTTGATAGGGGATTAGATATCTACAGTTTAAACCGGATGTGCTACATCGCTCGCATGCGAGACACCCCTGAAGGTGCACGGTAACCTTAACCCTTCACTCTCAAGATCTCAGTAGCAATTCTCCTTATTGTTTCCTATATAATTCTTATAATGTTAGATTGGAGAAATTGGTATTGGATCAACTAATAGTCCCCTAATTGACAATTTTCTTTATTCTCATTACTTATTTATCTGCTCAAATTTTGCCTTCACTACTCAACCGGACACACAAAGAGTTAATATCTGGGTGGGTTGGCCGGCCAAGCTCAATTGTTGTGTTGATATTGTAACTCAAGGAAAAATTTTGTATTGGTCATTATTTAGGGTTAAAAAGGTATTGGATATTCCATAATTAGACATGCTCCATACAAAAATAAACTTTTCTTTCTAGCTATGCCATTGTTGTCTTTTGAAATAACCTAGCAAGCCTGGTGTCCTATCGACAAAGAAAATAAGCCCTAGCTGATTTGTGGGTCTAATATTCATCATCCTGCTACCTGGTATGGGTTATATCCTGGAAATATGTGAAATAACATTGGTAAACATCTCTTTGAGCTCTAGGGTTGACAAGCCAAGTAAGGTCAGTCTCTAAACTACCTAACTTCTGTGATAATCGTGCTTTTGCCTTCTTAAACATAAAAAGCAAAATCTGGACGATGGGATTCAGTTTCACATGCCAGTTTTCTGTCACTGAACATTCCAGCCTTGAAGTAGACTATGAAACTTCAATGACCCAACTCAACTTGGTGATCAACAAGCAACCTGATTGTTTTGATCATCCTCCAGTGACTTCTCAGGACTTTCCTGGTCCTCTGCAGAGCCTTGAGACTTCTGATTCAAACAGTCATTGATCTGACCGATAAGTTCCGCACTGACATTATTTTCAAACAAAACTAGTTCCTGCATTTTTGTGGGGTAATTAGCAATAACAGCAAAGAACATCTCTGCTCCCTTTTCACTTACTCCACAGCCTTCCAAATCAACTCTTTCTAGTGAAGAGCTTGCTGCCAGAGCAACAGAAAGCACACCAGCCCCATAATCACCAATGTTGTTATAGTCAAGATAAAGATTTTGTAACTGCGAATTTGCAGCTATGGCTATGGCAAGCTGTGTCCATCCCAGAGGTGTCACTCCCTGGTTTGCTGACAGCGTAAGTTCAACGAGACCTTCTCTTCCTTCAGTCAAGGGAAGAAGTGTACAAATTTGTTTGATGCTGTCATCTCCGAGTTGGCAGTCACCAAAATCCAGAGATTGCAGTCTGGGATGTAATTGAAGAGCTGGCATTAAACACTCCAGGCCTTCATCTCCAAGGGATGTTCCATGCAAGCTACAAGTACAAAATATAATAATACAATGATTGACAACTATGAGAAACAGGGAATTTCTTAGTGGACTTCAAAAGAATCTTCTGGAGTAGGGGAGGGGGAAGAAGAGGGGAGGGGGGAAGGGGCAATGTTGCTGGTATAACAACACTAATGTTAGTGTTGATCTTTGGAAAATTTCCTAGGGAACTGAAAAAGGTTGGCTTTTGTTGAAGAAGAGAGGTTTGGAGGAGGTACCTTGAAAAGGAATTTGGGAACCTCTAAACATGGAATCACTGGATTGTTTCAGTTTGATTGGATTGTAAAAATATTGATGGAGAGATTTTTCGATTGTTTGTCCAAAATCCTTGTGACCTGTGTAAGTTTCACCTTACCGAATACTCAGCATGTATTCTTAAGAGAAAAACTTGTAGAATCTTTGCAAACAATATTGAAATGAGCAGTAAAGCACTAAAACAAAAGCGTAATACATACAGTAGGTTGGGCAAAAAAATTGATAACTCTCGTCAGCTTCATCACTTGTCAATTTGATAGTTGTAAGTTAAACTTAAAGCTTAAAGTGAATTTAAATGCATGGTCTTACTTACAACAACGATGTTAGATATTTATTGGCAACCAAAGCTTCGGAAAGCCATTTGATTCGGTGCTTTCCGTTGCATACTCCCAAGTTTAAATTGAGCTGAGCCAGAGATTCGCATTCTTTCAAACTATCCATCAACTTCTTGAAATCTTCGTCATGAATTCTACAGCCCCGCAAAGACAGGATTCGAATACTGTTGTCGTTCAACGACTCACAAATTCCCTTGACCTCGGCGTCCCTCAGATCTTCGCCAGTTATTTGAATGGTTCCCAAGAGCATATCCGAAAGGCTTTTGGTCGATAAATAAGCAAATCGGGAATGGTATTCGAATAAATTCGTCTCTTCTTCGAGGGCTTGCTCACTCGATTACCATAGTTACAAATCCTTACAAGTCTAAATACTGACAGGCGTTCGGGTGGAATAAGCACCAGAGACTGGGCTCAAGCACAGGTTACCCATGGTCTCCATTCGACTCACAGATGGGGAAATTTGCGTGGATCGAGGTATGCGCACTTCCCATTTCTCTGATTGGTTACTAATTTGTTCCCATACTAGTATGGGATATCTCCCAAACTGGAAGGTTCTTTGACACGTTAATAAAGTTTCTATCAATCTATCTATAGCGCTCCTCACTGTTTGATGTAGTCACAATCCTCTCCACGTAGCCGGTGGGGAGGGAAGGGAAATATTTAACAAGTAACATAACTTCTTCCTACTATTTTCATGGCTGGAACAACTCCAGTTGACTTATCTGCTCCCCAAACAGTCAAATAAAACCCATCAAAGGGAGTCTAGAGAAACTGCACATGAAAAGAAGTCTACACTTTGTACAACAGTTTGCCTTCACATTACTTTCCTGAAAAAAGTTTGTGATTCACATTACTGTTAAAAGCTAAATTCTGGAAACTTCGAAAAACCAGAATGTTCAGAGTAGCACAACTTTCTAGCTAAGGACAAGTAATAATAGTCATAGTTATGATAGTTATAATACTACTAATAGTTTTTTTAATATAAATATCAACTTTATTGAAGTCCAAGTCCTATCTGATACTACTAAAAAATTTCATTCATTTTACACTTGCATAGCTAAGGCAAAATAAGAGTTCTCTGGTAAAATTGCATACTTTACTCTGTTATTTGAAAACTCTTAATAAGTAATTTGCTTTTTATTTTTTAATTTTTTTTCAAATTTCCCAACCTGTAATTATTGAAGTCTTTTTTCACTGTAACCAGGGAAGCAGTTATCCTAATCTAGATCTATTGAATTAAGTAATAATTTTCACAATAGACCAGATGTTTCAGACTTAATAATTGCTCTTTGAATTTTCATGCAGCAATATTTAGCTATTATTAACTTCTGTAACCATTTTTTTTTTTCTATTTCTTTCTTTTCTGTTCTCTGTAAATAAACAGCAGGCTAGCTAGCTCACTCAAAGAACTTCAGCTACTTTGGCAGCTGTTTATCTAAATATTAAAAACTAAAAATACATGGCATGTATTTCTAAAATACAATTTATTATCCTTGATGAAAGCCATTTCTGCAAATATATATCACTTATCTGTGCACCTAATATTATCAGTATTATTATCTCCACTATCAATAACTATTTTACACTCCAAACAGAGTAAAAGAATTCCATCAAAATTGGCACTAAATTAGTTTGACATTTTCCATCAAGACCAGGTCATAACTTCCATTGCTGAGATTCTTTCTTGCTGTCACAAACTTTGATGGAAAGTTTCTTGGTGAAAATGTCTGCCTCAAGGCATTTGTCACTTTCATCATCCACTAACATGATAGCTCCATTTGCATGTCTCCATTTCTGCCATAAAAATATGATATATTATATAATAAATATTATTTATTATATAAAACGTGCATTGTCAGTGTCAACGCACGTTAATAAAATTTGTAATTCCGCATTTTATCACCTACATAATATTAGGAGGATTAAGAATTTTTAACATACATTGTTAATATTAATGTAAATGTAATTAGTTTTATAAATTTGAATTTACTGTAGTATTCTAAGTTGTTAAGTGCTGCTGATCATTGAATGAAAGTAGCACTCTAGAAGTTATTAAATTAAATTAAATATTTATCAAGTATGCTGTTTGTACACAACTTGGATAATGGAGAGAGGGGATGAGAGAGGGTGATGGGAGAGGGAGATGGGAGAGGGAGATGGGAGAGGAAAACAAGAACGGGGGAAGGGATGAGAGAGGGGGGATGGGAGAGGGAGATGGGAGAGGGGAATGAGAGAGGGAAACAAGAACAGGGGAAGGGATGAGAAAGGGAGATGGAGGAGGGGAATGACAGAGGGAAACAAGAACAGGGAAAGGGATGGGAGAGGGAGATGGGAGAGGGGAATGAGAGAGGGACACAAGAACAGGGGAAGGGATGGGAGAGGGAGATGGGAGAGGGGAATGAGAGAGGGACACAAGAACAGGGGAAGGGATGGGAGAGGGAGATGGGAGAGGGGAATGAGAGAGGGAAACAAGAACAGGGAAAGGGATGAGAGAGGGGGATGGGAGAGGGAGATGGGAGAGGGGAATGAGAGAGGAAAACAAGAACAGGCGAAGGGATGAGAGAGGGGCATGGGAGAGAGAGATGGGAGAGGGGAATGAGGAGGGAAACAAGAACAGGGGAAGGGATAAGAAAGGGGGATGGGAGAGGGGAATGAGAGAGGGAAACAAGAACAGGGGAAGGGATGAGAGAGGGGGATGGGAGAGGGAGATGGGAGAGGGGAATGAGAGAGGAAAACAAGAACAGGGAAAGGGATGAGGGAGGGGGATAGGAGAGGGAAATGAGAGGGGGAAAAAAAACAGGGGAAGGGATGGGAGAGAGAGATGGGAGAGGGGAATGAGAGAGGGAAACAAGAACAGGGGAAGGGATGAGACAGGGGGATGGGAGAGGGAGAGGGGAATGAGAGAGAGGGAAACAAAAACAGGTGAAGGGATGAGAGAGGGGGATGGGAGAGGGAGAGGGGAATGAGAGGGAAACAAGAACAGGGGAAGGGATGAGAGAGGAAGATGGGAGAGGGGAATGAGAGAGGGAAACAAGAACAGGAGAAGGGATGAGAAAGGGGGATGGGAGAGGGAGATGGGAGAGAGGAATGAGAGAGGGAAACAAGAACAGGGGAAGGGAAGAGAGAGGGGGATAAACGAGGGAGTGAGAGACGGAAATAAGAACAGGGGAGGGGAGAGGGGAATGGGGAAGGAGGATGAGAGAGGGGGGTAAGAGAAGGGGATAGGAGAAGGAAGATGAAAGAGGGGAATAAGAGAGGGGGGATGGGACAGGGGGATAAGAGAGGGGGATGGGAGAAAGTCATTTGAAATAGGGGGGGGTGACAGAGGGGCAGAATCTCACCCTGATGAAACCTTTTAATGGCATGAGTTAACTGTTTCAAACCTTGGTCTTCCAGGGTACGCTGTATATTAACATTTTTAAGTATACCCTCTTGACATTATCATTTGAAATTTTTTTATGTCCTAGTTGTATTGGTCGAGCGGTTCCTTATATGATGCTATATAAACCACTCCGCGTGGTTTATATAAAATGTTAAACTAAAATGTTAATAAATGTTACTAAAATGTCATGATTTTAGAGATTTCTCTGTTATTCAGCTCTGAAATTATACTAAAACAATTATTCGCCTCAGGTTCGGGGATTATTCGATGATATTCACCTCGCCTTCGGCGAATAATTGTTAAATACAGCAGGGAGAATAAAATTGCTCCATTGAGCAAATCGTTCTATCCATTGAGCTAACCGCCTCCCGGTTAGCTCAATGGATAGAGCGCTGGACTGTTGTGCGGGAGGTCGAGGGTTCGCCCCGGCTGGACCAACACTAAAGGTCTTAAAATAATTGAGAAGAATATGCTACCTTTCTATAACATCAAGAAATGGTTAGATAG